TGAGTCATTGGTTGTTTAATGAAACAATGATTCAAGAGTTTGAGAGGTGAAATCAGACAATTCTGCTACTCTCATTGCAAGATGCACTAGAAGATACATTTGCTTTAGAATATGTCTGCATCAACTAAATTTTATAGGAGAGGCCAGATTCATCCTGTCAGAACCAGAAGGAACATTAGACATGAGGAACTCCAACTCTTCGTTTAGGAAGCTGAGAGATTAGAAGGCTTTTCCTAACTCATATTGTACATATAGAGTCATCAAGACAAATGGAGTATACAGCACCTGCTGACAAAGGCCATATTTGGTTCAGTACCCTTCTTTGTCAAGGCTGAATTTCTTCCTGTTTCCCAGGTATCAGAGAGATTAAAGTAAAAGTGTAGAAAAGGTTATTGACAGTGTCTGATAAAATATATGCTACGAATCTAAGCTGACCCCAAAGCAATATTAACAAAGAAGAACAGACTTCCAGCCAAGATGGAGGCATAGGTAGATGCACTTTGCCTCCTCACACAATCAAAAGAAGGAAAACAACAAATTTAAAAACAAAAAATAACGAGAACTGCCAGAAAAATCAAATTGTGCGGCAGTCCAACAACTGAGGAATTAAAGAAGAAACATTCATCCAGACTGGTAGGAGAGGCAGAGAGGACTGGTGGCAAGGCAGTGGCTAGAGGACTAGGTGGTTCTACGGTTGCATGCGGATAAACTAGGAGAAACAACTAGGGAGTGAGACAGACCACACAACCCAGGGTTCCCGTACAGGGAAATAAAGCTTCAAAACCTCTGACTGAAAACACTCTTGGGGGCTTGAGGTGGCAGGAGAAACTCCCAGCCTCACAGGAGAGTTTGTTGGAGAGACCCACATGGTCCTAGGGCATACACAAAACCACTCACCTGAGAATCAGCATCAGAATGGCCCAGTTTGCTTGTGGGTAGTGGAGAAAGTGACTGAAAGCCAGCTGAGAGCTGAGCAAGCAGCAGTGTTCCCTCTTGGACCCCTCTCCCACATACAGGGCCACAACACAGCAAAGTGGGTTGCCCCACCCTAGTGAATACCTAATGCTCCACCCCTTGCAATGTAACAGGTGTGCCAAGACAAAGAAATATGACCCAAATGAAAGAACAGATCAAAGCTTCAGAAAAAAATACAACTAAGTGATGAAGAGATAGCCAACTTATCAGGTACAGAGTTCAAAACACTGGTAATCAGGATGCTCAAAGAAATGGTTGAGTATGGTCACAAAGTAGAGGAAAAAGTGAAGACCATAAGTGATATAAAGGAAAATGTACAGGGAACCAACAGTGACAGGAAGGAAACTGGGACTTAAATCAACGATCCGGAACAGAATGAAGAAACATTTAACCAGAACACAATGAAGAAACAAGAATTCAAAAAAAATGAGGAGAGGCTTAGGAACCTGTAGGACAACTTTAAACATTCCAACATCCAAACCATAATTGTTCCAGAAGGAGAAGAGGAAGAGCAAGACATTGAAAACTGATTTGAAAAAATAATGAAGGAGAACTTCCCTAATCTGGCAAAGGAAATAGGCTTCCAGCAAGTCCAGAAGTTCCCAAAGAAGTTGGACCCAAGGAAACACACACCAAGACACATCATAATTACATTACCCAAGATGAAAGATAAGGACAAAATCTTAAAATCAGCAAGAGAAAAAGAGTTACCTACGAAGGAGTTCCCATAAGACTGTCAACTAACTTCTCAAAAGAGACCTTATAGGCAAGAAAGGGCTGGAAAGAAGTATTCCAAGTCATGAAAGGCAAGGACCTACATCCAAGATTGCTCTATCCAGCAAAGCTTTCATTTAGAATGGAAGGGCAGATAAAGTGCTTCCCAGATAAGATCAAGTTAAAGGCATTTATCATCACCAAACCCTTATTATATGAAATGTTAAAGGGACTTACCTAAGAAAAAGAAGAAGATCAAAACTAGGAGGAGTAAAATGACAACAAACTCACAACTATCAACAACTGAACCTAAGAAAACAAAAACAAAAATGAACTAAGCAAACAACTAGAAGAGGAACAGATTCACATATATAGAGATCTGCAGAGAGGGGGTGGTGGAGAATGACGGAAAAGGTACAGGGAATAAGAAGCATAAATGGTAGGAACAAACTAGACAGGGGGAGGTTAAGAATAATATGGGAAATGGAGAAGCCAAAGAACTTATATGTATGACCAATGGACACAAACAAGGTGGGGGAATGGTGGTGGGAGGGTAATAAAGGAGAGAAAAAAATGGGACAACTGTAATAGTATAATCAATAAAATATATTTAAAAATAAAAAAACAATTATCTGTAAAAAAAGAATAAATTTGGAGGTATCATAAACAACCTGATACCAAACTATACTACAAGGTGACAGTAATCAAAACAGCATTGTACTGGCATTAAAACAGAGATATAGATCAATGGAAAAGAATAGAGAGCCCAGAACAAACCCACACCTTTATGGTCAATTAATCTATGACATAGAAGGCAAGAATATACAATGGGGTAAAGATAGTCTCTTCAATAAGTGGCATTGGGAAAACTGGACAGATACATGAAAAAAATTGAAACTAGACCACTTTCATGTACCATGTACAAAAATAAACTCAAAGTAGACTAAAGACTTAAATGTAAGACCTGAAACCATGTAACTACTAAAAGAAAACACAGACAGTAAACTCTTTGACATCGCTCTTAGCAATGTTTTTTTTTTTTTTGGATAGGTCTGAGACAAGGGAAACAAAAGAAAAAATAAACAAATGAGGCTACATCAAATTAAAAGTTTTTGCACATCAAAGGAAACCACTAACGGAACACAAGGACAACCTACGGAATAGGAGAAAACATTTGCCAATAATAAATCCAATAAGGGGTAAATACCCAAATTCCATAAGGAGCTCATATGACTTAACCACCCCCCTCAAAAAAACCACAATCCAATTAAAAAATGGGCAGAGGACCTGAACAGACATTTCTCTAAACAGAACACACAGATGGCCAATGAACATACGAAAATATGCTCAACACCACTAAGCATCAGGGAAATGCAAATTAAAACTTCAATGAGATACTGCCTCGCACCTGTCAGCACGGCTATTTTCAATAAATCAGCAAATGCTGGTGTGGTTGTGGAGAAATGGGAACACTTGTGAAGTGTTGGTGGGACTGTAGACTCATGCAGCCACTATGGAAAAACAGCATAGCAGTTCTTCAAAAATTAAAAGTAGAACTACTATATGACCCAGCATTTCCACTTCTGGATATGTATCTGAAGATATCCAGAACACTGATTCAAAAATATATATGCACCCCTATGTTCATTGCAGCATTATTTATAGTAGCCAAGATATGGAAGCAACCTAAGTGTCCATCAGTAGATGAATAAAGATGTCATACATATATACAATGGAATATTACTCAGCCATAAAAAAATGAAATTTTGCCATTTGTGACACCCAGGAGGTATTATACTAAGTGAAATACATCAGATAGAAAAAGACAGATGCCATATGATTTATATGTGAAATCTAAAAACCAAAATAAATGAACAAAACAGAAACAAACTCATAGATACAGAGAATAAATTGATGGCCATCAGATGAGCGGAAGTTTGGGCGATGAGTAAAAACAGGTGAAAGGGATTGAAAAGTACAAATTGCCAGTTATAAGAATAGTCACTGGGATGTAGAGTACAGCACAGGAAATAGTCAGTAGCATTGTAACCACTCTGCATGGAGTCACGTGGGTACTAGACTTAGCAGGTTGACCATTTCATCAGGTATATACATGTCTAACCACTATGTTGTACATCTGAAACCAATGTAATATTGAATGTCAACTAAAATTGAAAATTAAATTAAAAAAATAGTTATTCTTCCCTAAATTTATTCTTTTCTGCTATCTTCCTAGGCTTAAGATACAGCTCTTATGATCATTCTGTTGAATGTTCTCAGGCTATCTGTGAGCACATGCCTACAGATGCATCCATTTTCCATTATTCGTAATGGTCACTCAATACCACAGAAACTTTCCTAAGCTCATGTGTTTGTCTCTTCCCAAGAGAAGGTCTCCCAGGGCTTGGAACAGAAGAGGGTTCAGCCAATGTTTGCAGAATGACCTAATGACTAGATTCCAGTTTCACTGCCTATGTGTTCTTTATTTATCAACATCACTGCTTCTGAACAAAGAAAAAAAGGCAACATTTCTGTCTATCCTTGGGAAACTGGAGTCATATCTAATTCTTTGCAGATTGGTAACTCAGGGTTGCAAGGTGGAGAAGGGGTACTTCCTGTCAGCATCTAGCCCCTTGGGCAGACACATCATGGTAAGTGTGTTCACACGTGGCCTTGGTGCCCTTCCCACTGGCCACTCTCCCATGCTGAGCTGTGCTGGGGCTGGTGGTATCGGAGGCACTCTGTCCCTGGGTCCCTTTCCATCCTGTGACGGGAAAGAAACACTGACTCTCACTGGCAGACATATGTGATTTACAGCCTGGGTAATTCCTGCAGTAACAGACACTGGTACACCTTTTACCGACATGGGTAGGCATCTGAGGTCCATAGGCAGGACCAATGTAATCCATTCTTAGCTCTAGTTTTTTCAGGATTCCTTAGTTTCTTAGTTTCTTAGTCTTTCAACTACTCAATAATGGTGAGTAAATGCCTTAATTAGAGTCTTAATTAGAGGAGTGTGAAGAAAATCACTCATGTGCAATATGGTCTCCTCTAAATTCTAATAACAGAAGCCTAAAAGCTGTAATGGAGTGACCCCTTCCCACTGCAGACTGGATGGGGCCCATCTAGGTAACCTTGGTCCTACCTAGCCCTCACAACTCCCAGGGCTCCCAGGGAGGCAGCACATGGGCCTCTAGCAGGAGAACTCTGAGAAGTAGCGGCTCGCTCAGCAGCCACCTCACCTGCCCTGGGAGGGCAGGTACGCCAGGGACCACCTGCAGGCAAAGGGAAGACAGATGGACAAAGCCTACCTGACTCCATCCTGCCTTCCTGGTTCTCCTGGGCTTCCTCCGAGGCACTGGAGCCCCTGGGGAAGGGCTGGTGGCTGAAGAGGTCATCACACAGGAGGCTTCGGCACAGCTTGGTGAGGAAGCGGAGGACGTACCCGATGCTGTTCACCACCGGCAGACTCCGCAGGTGCTGTCTCCCATCAAAGGATGCCGACACTGGAAAACCACAGAGACAGCAACTCAGAGCGGAGCGCGAGTCCGTCAGCCCTGGGGAAGAGGTTTTCGTGTGTTCAGTTTGTTTTGTTTTTTAACTAGGCTTTAATAGGATTTCACCTGTTTTTTCACGAATGCCCCATTTCTGGTCCAGGATCTCATCCAGGAGACCACAGTGGGCGACATAGTCCTGTCTCCTTAGTCTCCTCTGGTTTGGGACCGTGCCTCAGCTTTTCCTTGTTTACCATGGCCTTGGCAGTTTTTAAGAAGACTAATCAAGCATTTTGTAAAATGTCCCTCAGTTTGGGTTTGTCTGATGTTTTTCTCATAATTTGACTGGGATGATAAGTTTTTGGGGAGGAAGACCACAGAGGGGAAGTGCCTTCCTCACTGCATCAGATCAGGTGCACACGACACCTACATGACATCACTGGGGTGTTACCGTGACCTGGCTAAGGTGGTGTTTGCAACACTTTGCACTATACTCTCCATTTTCTCATTGCCTTGCAAATAAGTCACGAGGTCCTGCCCACACTCAAGGGTAGAAGGACTAAGCTCTACCTTCTGGAGAGCGGAGAGTCTCTGTATCATTTTAAATTCTTCCAAAAGGAAGAACCATCTCTTCTTCTCTATTTATTCAGTCATTGATTAATATCAGTACAGACTCAGTATATTTACTCTGTACTGTGGTTATCCAATAATGTTATTTATTTTCTTGCTCAAATTGTTGAAGCTTTTGTCTCTGAGAGTTTTCAGGTTGGCTCCTGTGTCCCTATGACCACCCCATTTTTTTAAGCAACCCTTTGGTTACTGACACTCCAATATGTTCCAGGTTCATCTTGTATTTTCCCTATCCAAACCCTAAAATCAGCCATTTCTGCAGCAGTCCTGGTTCCATTTATTGAAGAGCGATACTTAAAAACCAAGATTTAGGCACAGGAGGAGCTCATTGCTACTGGGGTGTCAATAGTTCTAGGGCCTTTCTAAAGAGAGCTAAGAAATGTATGGCATATACTATTCCATTATAATTAGTTCTCTTCTAGACATAGCTAAGGATAGATAGATATATAAATAATAAATAGATCAGATAGATAGATCTAGATATAGAGATATATTCAAAAAACCTGAGTTTGTACTGAAGTCTCTTATTTAGCCTCATAGAGTTCAGGGTTCATTGTAGCACTCTGGGGAATAATTTTTATAAAAGAACAGTAATCTCTCCACAGGAGTGCTAGATTAAACTTGATTTCTATGGAGTTACCAGAATTTAGAAGGAACACTGGTTCCTTCTAGCACACAGCATGTTCTGTTCTGTAATTCCCTTCACAGGCCTCTCTCACCCCCAGAAGCTGCATGCCAGCCCCAGTGCGAGGCACACAGGAGCTCCCAAACAGGGTGTTCTGCTCCCACCTGGGCCTCTGCCTCTCAGCGCCAGCACCTGGAACGCAGCCTGGTTTTTCCCGTTTTATCTCCCAAAGGCTGGCAGGCGGTGAGGGGGATGGGGCAGAGGTGATCAGAACTAGTTTTGATTTCAAAATGAAAACAAATGGGGAAAATACTCATTTTAATTAGAAATCAAAATAATTCATTTCTTTTGTGTAACTCTTTAGAGTTTGGTGAGAGCTTTTATATCCATCGTGTCACTTAGGCTTCCTACTGCCCTGTGAGGAGAGTGGGACACGACGTTGCCCCGTGTCACAGATGAGGAAACTGCAGGGAGGGCCTGGTCTTCCCAGCTCATGTGGACTCTAGTGGGCTTGCCTGTCATGTTAGCACTCCAAGTGACCCTGACAGGAGAGACAGCCAATGAGCTTCCATGATGCTCACCAAGAGTGCCATCCTGGCCATTCGGATGCTCTAGAAATTCCTTCTTAGTGTGGGTACTGCTACTGGCCTCCAATACCTTAAAAAAGTGGGTGTGTTAGAAACTGAACCCACAGCAGGATGGTCTGGGCCACCAGGTCTGTCCCATACATCAGTGCTCATACATTCCTGGAGTTGCCTGAGAGATCACATACGTGGGAACGGTCTACCTCCTGGAGGAGGGCATGGGACTTGTGAGACCAGAAAGTCTACCCCTGGGGGAGAGGGTGGCTACAGTGTGCCAGGAATGGGTGTGGGGCACTGCAGGGCTGCTCCCTGAAGCCCTAGGGGTGGCCCAGGACCCAGCCATGGCAGCTCGGTTCCTTTAGCCCATTGTGGCAGCACCAGGGTCACCGTTCCTTATGTATTCTGCCATAGGAATATTTGGAAAGCAGTGCCCCAAGGATCAGGTTCTGGGTGGAAAATGGGAGAGTCTGGCTATGTCTCCTTGAGTCCTTCCCTAAACCACCTCCGAGCCTCTCAGGGCTACTGAATTCTCTAAGACACTCTAAGACCAAGCGCTCAGTGCGGGCCTTCCTGGGAATCCTTCAGCCAAGGGAAACTTGGCGAGGCTCGGCCCACACTCACGGTGCCAGGCCCTGCAGAAGCTCCTCCCCAGCGCCAGGGCCCCTGAGGCCACAGAAGGGCTAAGCAGGGAAGCGGGGGAAATGGGGTCAGCTTTCCCAGCTTTGTGAGGCAGGGCCCATAAAGAATCAGCCAGGTGGGATTCACTTATGAGGGTGGGCACACAGTATAGAAGGGGCTTTCTCTTAGTGCCAGGTCTGTGTCTTGAGCCCTGTTATTTAGCAAGGAAAAGGACAAGGTTTGATCTCAGGTTATAGCCCAGGGCTGAGAACCTGGCTGTCAGACAGAAGCCAGGAGAAGAGCGGCCAAGGGGGTCTTGGAAGGCCTGACAACAGGTCTCTCCTCCTGGCCTCTCTTGGTGCGGTACTTCTATCTCTGCTCACATCTGCTAAAATCTCTTTAAAGTGCCTGGATCAGACACATGCACCCAGACCTAGCCAAGTTCTATTTTCATCAGTTACCAGCAAGTCAGACCCGACTTCCTGCTCTGAGGAAGCTCCAGAAGGTGGGCCAAATCAATCAGAGCTGCAGAAGCTGCGTCGGACACCCCTCCAGGCTCCAGCCCCCAGCCCCCAGCCCCCAGCCCCCGGGGATCTGGGGTTAAATCAAATGCTCTGCTTTGGTTCTTTAGGACACAGCCCCATTAGAGACCTGTCTCCCCATTCTTAGCCAGCCAGCAGGGTCACCTGCACAGCCCCATTTCTGGGGAAGCTTCTCCCGTTTCCTTGATGATATGGAGGCTGTGTCCATGATGCTGAACCCGAGAAGACACTAAGCTGTCCCTTTGGAGTCAAGACATCTCCAGGGTTTGAGGGCAGGTGGTGATAACCACTGTGGAGAGCTCCCGACTTGGCCTATCACTGTGGTGGCAACTTCCACTCTCTCTGGAAGCTGTTGGGTTGGGGCTGAAACTGGATATGGGCAGTGGCAATGAGAGAAGGGTTTGACTTTGAAGGCTCTTGTTTTAAAAAAAAAAGCCTGCCCTGTGAGGTGGAGTTGAGACCATGAACTTCCCCACTTCCCTGCACGGTGATTAGTGCCATGGGAAAGGAGTGAAGCAGAGCAAAGGGGAACAGAGAGTGACAAGGGCTGATATTCTAGACAAGGAGGTCAGGAAAGGGCTCTCTAATAAGGAGGCATTTGAGTAAACATCTGAAGGGAGTCCAGGAGCAAGTCACATGGACAGCTGGGGAAGAACCTTTCAGAAAGAGAAAATGGCAGGGGCAAAGACCCTGGGGCACCAGCCTGCCTGGAGGACACAGGAAAAACAGCAAGGAGGAAGCTGTGGCCTGAGCAGGTAGGGGACAGGAGAGATGTGACCAGGAGATCAAAGAGGTAGCCAGGGCCGGGTCACCCAGGGCCCGTAGTCCCTTGTGAGGGACTTTTTTTCAGAGTGACATGGGAGTCATTGAGTGTTTAGGGCAGAGGGCGGGTATGATCTGGCTTATTTTTTAAAGAACCAGAGTGGCCACCGTGGGTGGTGAAAGGTGGCTGGATTCTGGATATTTTTAAAGTTAGAGCAATAGGATTTACTGATGGGTGAGGAGTGGAGGGTGGGAGAAAGAGGGGAGTCGAGAGTGAGGTTCCAGATGTCCAGTCTGCTGGCCCAGGTGTGCAAGCACCTTCTCCTTGATCCCCGAGGGAGGCCCTCTGCACACAGGCTCAGGGAGAGCCCCGGAGCCCAGCAGATAGAGACCGGACCCTGGTCATAACCACTGTCCCCCTAGCCTGAGAATGACTGCTTTCCTCTTCAGAGACGCCGTGGCCCTCCTCAGACACCTGCCCCAGGGCCTTACCAGAGACCATCTCGCCACCGTAGCCCTGCTTGACCAGGGAGAAGACCAGCTTCTGCTGGTGGGCACAGTCGATGCACGCCTGCACCGCCTGCTGCAGGACCGCCGACGGCCTCTCGGGCCCGAAGTGCTCGGGCAGCTGCTGCACCTTCCTCCTCTCCAAGTAGGGCCCTGCGTTGGCTTGCTTGTTGATGTAGAGGCAGACTGTGGAAACAGAGACCCACAGAGCCCAGTGTCAGTGCCCCCTTGGCCCTGACCTTGGAAAGCTGGAAAAAAAAAGGCAAAAGTGGGACCGACTCTTCCTACTTAGTAAGATAAGAGGCAAAGAGGCCGATCACCCCAACTGCCGGGGCTTATTCTCAAGACGGTCTCCCAGGTGGGGACAGGACAGGTGGGCCCCTGTGGAGCACTGAAAGCTGAATGCAAACAGCTGTGGAGGCCCGGGGCCGCGTGGGTAACACGTTTCCACGCTGGGCACGTACACATGCAGAATCTTCCCTGCTCTCCCAGGGAGCTGTCACGCTACACATACTGTCTGGCGCTTTTCTGTTAACTTGGGATGAATAAAAACGTGAAGATATTGTTGATTGCTTCAAACACCATGTATTCTGCTTCTAAAGAGAGTGCTATTTACAATTTCAGAGGAAGTAAACACTCAGCCGCCTACTCAGATGAGCCCAATCAATGGTTTTCCACACTTGCAAAGTGATGTATCCCATCAGTAAAAAAGAACATCCCCCAAAATGTGTTTATTTATTCATAGGTTATATACATTCTTGTCTGTATTGATGTATCATGTGCATTTTAAAATGTAACCAAGAAAAAGAAAAAATGTTTAAATCCTCACCCAAGGACATGCTTGTTGATTTTAGAGAGAGGGGAAGGGAGGGAGAGAGAGAGAGGGAAAAAATCCATGTGAGAGAGAAACATCAATTGGTTGCCTTGTGCATACACCCTGACTGGACCAAACCCACAGCCTAGGCATGTTCCCTGATCGGGTATTGAACTCGCGACCTTTCAGTTTGCAGGATGATGCCCAACCAACTGAGCCACACCAGCCGGAGAAAGAAAAAGAAATTTTTAAAGGATGATGTAAAAATATATATTAATAGTAGGTATCATATTTTCTTCTATACACTGACTCTCCTCTTCTGTCTGCCCCCCTCCCCCTCTCGCCCTGGAGGCCGCCGGGGCCAAGGAGTGCTGAGGAGGGGCTTTCAGAGGAGACCAATGGGGTATAAAACAGTAATAACAATGGTGAAGAAAATTTGTTTTCATTGACCATCTATTATATTCCAGGCACTTTATATAATTTATCTTGTTTCATCCTGAAGACAAGCCTGGGAATTAGACATTATTCCTTCTTTACTAAAGAAGAAACTGAGGCTTCAGGTGGTCAGAAGTTGCTCATGAAGCCTGTAATTGTAGGTACAGCAGGGGATTGGACGCAAGCCTTTCTCATGTCAAGGCCCACGCTCTTCTCAGTCTAGCAGGCTGCCTTCTCTTCTACTCGTCAAAGATGATTAAGGAGATATGAGTAATAAGAGACCTTCACATCAGACACTGTGTTAGGCCTCATGGAGAAAACGGTGAACCAAACTGACAAGATCCCTGGCTTCACGTATCTTAGGGCCCAGCGGGGGAGGCAGACCTGCTCAGCCAGTCCCAGGGACTGATGTGGGACTGCGGCCGGGGACACACTGACTGGTGCTGGGAGAGCCCCGGGAGAGGCCCTCGGCACACGGGCTCAGGCAGGGCCCTGGGTCCTGGCAGATGGAGGACAGACCCTGGCCACAACCACTGTCCCCGGGCCTGAGAATGGCGGCTGTCCTCTTCAGAGAGACTCTCTGAGGACCCTGGCAAGAAGCTGCTGAAGGAGGCACGTATGCCTGAGCTGAGAGTCAAGGGGGAAATTGGGTGACCAGAGAAAAGACCACTCCAGATGGAGGTTGAGACTATGCTGAGATGCTGTGGCAGACCCTGGGGACCACGGAGAGCAGTGGGCTGCGTCTCAGAAGGAGGGAGCTTCTGGGGCCGTGTTGGCCACTTTAATAAGCTCGGTCTTTACCTAAAACCAATGGGGGGAGAATGAAGGAATTCGGGTGTGGTGGGAGAGGGCAGTGGGGCTGTGATGAGTGGGGACCGTGTGCGTGTGTGAGAAAGTCTGATTGCTGTTATTCTTAGAGTGGAACTGTTGGTTGGAGGATGTCCCATGAGAGACACTGGGCTGCGTGCTCCCCTGACTGGACTGCAGGGTGCTGGCTGGGATTAAGGGAGATTAGGACCCTTCAGAGACCTGGAAGTACAAACACAGGGATGGAAACTCTTCAAGGTGGGCAGGCTCACTATTGGTACAAAGAAAACCTGAGTCTGGAAAGAAAAAACTGGGCCACCAACTACTCTTTCTAGTCCTACCGGAAGGCAACCAGCTGAACTCAGGATGCACTGAAAACCAAATTTTAAATAATCCAAGCTGTGAGACACCTGAACTTGTGTTCTCAGAGAATCTGGTTGTCTTAGCTGCCATCTGGATGACACTCTCCCTCCTGTAATTGAGCTGCCTGGGTGGCAGCTCTCTAATTCACAAAGTAACTGTTAGATGACGGGCAGGCCGTCACAGCCTTGGCGCTCATTCACCTGACCTACCTGTGAGAGCCTGTGGGACTGCCAGGCTGGGGATGGTGGCTGCGTCCTGAGGGATGGAGCTGAGGTCGGGCTCCGGCGTACTCCGAGGAGGTGAGAGGGCCAAAGGGGTCATGAGTACCCGAGACTTGAGCTGCAAGAGAGAGCCCATTTGGTCAATAAAAATCTGAGAATGCTCTCTGCACCCTGGCAGACTATTTCCTGGATGGCAGTTAACCATGGCTACTCTAGCATGCTTCCACACCTTTCTACTGTGCAGCTTTGGGGGCTGAACTTCAGATTCAAGTCCACATTCAAGATTTATGTTCAAGGTCACACTCATAGGTTAGCTTCATATCCCACCCTTACAGTGGAACCACCCAAGAAATGACTGTGTCAGCTGGTGAGAGCACATAACAGAATGAGTGGCTGTAGCCTGTAACCCCTCTGAGTGCAGGATGCGGGATCGGGGACAGTTTCCAGCCTGAGCCCCTGGGCTCGCTGGAGTCCTGTAGACAGTGCTTTCCCGACAGCCACCCAGAGTCTGACACTGCAGCTCATCTCACTCTGCAGAGCTTCCTGCTAACAGAGATTACTGGATCCTTCTGCAAAAGAGAGCATTAGCTATTTCTCCAAGGGGCAAATACTGTCCTGGGTTTCTTTTCCCCAGCAGAGACTATCGATGGCAGCCTGGGTGTGGAAGGGAAAGCATCCTCTGCTAGTGAGAAGCAGCCACCTTGAAGGTCTCACTTGAATCACAGATGAGGAGCTGAAATATGCTGTTATGGATTAAGGAGGAGATGACTGGCTAATGATGTCAATACCAAAAAGTTGCTCTCCATGCCAAGGTTCAACAGACAAATTTCTAGTCTTAAGCTTTCCATCCCAAAATAAGTCGATCACTTCACCTCTTCACCACTACCAATGTGAGGGTGCTTGCCTCTACTGAACTGCACGAGAAATGGTTATGATGGCAAATTTTATGCCATGTGTTTTTTCCCACTATTTTAAAATTTTTGAAGTTTTTCTTTTGTTGTTTTGCTTTGAGGATGGGAAACATGTTTAAATGCTAATGGAAATAATCCAGTAGAGAGGAGAAATTCATGGTACAGGGGAGAGCATGCAGACCTGCTGCCATCAGCACTGTGAGTAGGCGAGAGGGGATGAGATTTAGTGAACAGGGGGGTGGACTATGGCTTTAGAGGTCACCAGGGACCCTGCATTTCACTGCAGTATGAAGGAAGGTGGAATATAAAGGTCTGGATCCGGGCTGGGTAGATGTGGTGGTGGGAGCTTACAGAAGGCCCCTTCCAATGGCTTCTAATGTCTAGTGCTGCTGAAAGCTGGGTGTGAGGACAGGGGAGGGCATGTTAATGAGCTAGGGGGTGGGGGATGGAGAGTGGTTGCTAAGCAGCATCGAGGGCACAGTGGGAGGGTGGAAATTAAAATGAATTTAAATGGAGATCCGTCAACAATGAGCGCCCTGGCTGCACAGGCTGTCTGCGGCTCTCCCAAGAGACTCTAGAAATGGGAAGCTACAATTAACAACAGAGATTTCATATTATTCTGAGGTTAGAATTTGAAATGTTAGGGGACCTGTCAGGTAGCAACACATGCCTAAATATTATAAAAAAATGGAAAAGAAACCTCAGAAGTAAAAGGAGTGGATCCAAAACCTGCTGTGACTCCATCACCGTGACTTTGGTGTGATTTCCTCACCTGCTGAGTGTTCCAAGGGCTGAGGCCACCCTGATGTTGCCCCAGGTCGTGCACCAAGGCTCCCCTGATAGTCTTCGTGGGACTGATGTCCTGCTCTACACTACTTGTGATGGGGAGGCTAGTGGTGAGTGTCCCTGGAGACTGCGGGCAACGGCCTCTGGAGGAGCCTTGGCTAAGCCCTCCTACATAGGCTTATAGCCCTCGGAGCCCCCAACACACAGACAACAATGCTGGTAGGGAAAAAAAAACAGGACTGGCAAGTTGTCATCTTCCCTGCTGAGGCCTTTAAGTAGATCACACTAATATCCTTGTGATCCATCTTCCCTAGAAAGATTCATGATAATGACAATGACAATGGTGATGATGATGATGGTAGGGAAAACTTAGAGCCAAATGCCATTTACCATTCATGTAAACTTCATATCAACCCTAACATAATTCTTCCTCACTATTTTAATACTTATTAGAGAGAGATCTGCCCATTGAACTCACCTCCAATGAGGTTCCTCACCTCCAATGAGGTGACAGCCAATTATAATTACAATTACACCTCTGTTACCTCTGCCCGCCATTTCTGCCCAAGTGAAACAATTAAAGGGATTGGATTAATTCAACTGGTTACAAGGAAAACCATCTCTATTCATCCAACCTCTAAAACCACTTCTGGGGCTTTTGACCAAAGAAAAAAATCCCATGCAAGTATAGATGGTATGTGACTTTTTAAAAATATCCTTTTAGGAATAGAATAAATCATAAGTAGGAATACCCTTTGACTTAGCATTCTAAAATTTCTACCTCATTGCATAATGCAAAGAATCAGAAATAACCTAGCTTAGAAAAGAGAGTCACCCACAACTTTAGAAAGGTCCTAAAACAGATATGAGCCCACTGCTAGAAGCGTCCTTTGGTGGAGTGTGGACACCAATGCCGGTGCCTCTCACATGCATGGAATGGAGCTCCTGTGAGCCCCAACCCATCCACGCTATGCTCTGTCAAGGCATGTGTCTTTGTCATTGATTGGGTTTGAAAAACAAAACTCGTTTATTTGCCCTGGCTGATATGGCTCAATGTATTGAGCAATGGCCTGTGAACCAAAGGGTCACCAGTTCAATTCCCAGTCAGGGCACATGCCTGGGTTGCAGGCCAGGTCCCCAGTAGGGGGCACACAAGAGGCAACCACACATTGATGTTTCTCTCCCTTTTTTCCTCCCTCCCTTCCTCTATGTCTAAAAATAAATAAAAAAAATATTTTTAAAAATTGTTCATTTGCTTTGTTTTTCTTTTAAATGAACAAAATAAAACAAACTGTTCCTATCTTGGTTAGTAATGCTATTCTTTAATAAAGGGAACCAGGGCTTTTTGAAGAAACAGCTGATTCCAGGCTGGGGCAGGGAGTACCTAAGATGAGTCTGGAGTACCTTGTTGTGCCAGAAACTAAGAAAATACTAAATACACACAACAGTGATGGGGGAGGTCATAGGGACACAGAACTTCCAATGACCAAGTCTGCAGCAATATGAGCAACAGTTAAAGAATGTAGTAATAGATTATAATTCACAGGGTGCAACAAATATCCACTACTCCAATCTCCTATGCATAAAAATCCAAATAATTTAATTTTAGAGCATAACACCTTACTCCTAAAGTGTGGACTGCACATAGTAACTTCCTTCCAAAAAGGACAGTATGGAAATGGGGTAGGCAAGTAACTTTACAGTAGGGAAACCTGTCAGACATCACCTCAGCCGGGGTCAAGGTCACTGTCCACGGTGATAAACTATATCAACAGTACATACCCTTGATGTGACATGATGGAAACAGTCTTCCCCAAAACTCATAACTCCAGTCTAATGAGAAAAACATCATCCAACCTAAATTTCAGAACATTTTACAAAATACTTGACCAGTACTCCTCAAAACTATCGACATCATCAAAACCAAGGAAAGTCTAAGAAACTTTCCCAGCCCAGAGGAGCCCAAGAAGACACAATGACTAAATGTAATGTGGTATCCTGGATGGATCCTGGAAAGCAATAGGAAAAAACTAATGACTCTGAACAAAATATGGATGTTATTTAATAATAATGTATTATTGATGGTTGAGTAGTTGTGACAAAGGTACCACGGTAAAGTGCGATGTTAACAATGGGAGATACTAGGGGTGGGTATGTGAGAATCCTCTATCTTTGTAACTCTTCTGCAAAAGTAAAATGGTTCTAAAATATAGTTTGTTTTGAAAATATTAAACAATGAGATCTGGCAGAACAAACTGGGTAAAATGGAGAGGAAGGAGGCAGCAGAGGCCTCTTTCTTGGCAGCACAAGATTGGCAGGAGGTCTGCTGCCCAGGACACCTTGCTCTTACATATAGGGGCTAAGCCTTGGCCTGCAAAGCCAGCAACCCTGTACAGAAGCTGGCAACGATGGCACCTTTACCTGCAATTCAAAACCTCAATCAAATGAGTCTGTGACTCCTCACCCACGACGTGGTTACCAGTGGCTGGAGGGCTGAGCTTCGCCTGGTTGAAGTGTTGTGGTGGGAAGAACAGAGGAGTGGCATTGGCCCCTGCCAGCAGGAGCCTCCGTCAATGGGGCTGGGAGTCTGGGATCCACTCATCTTGCTTTTCTGTTCGCAGATCCAAAATAAGGGCCTAGAGAGTTTCTTGCTCCAGCTGTCTTTCAGGGGAAGGCCTTCTCTAAGACATTTTCTAGAGAATCACTGGAAAGACTTGGGAGGGGATCTGGTTGCCAACTAAGATGTGTGGCCAGAGGACCATAAAGGAGAAAGAGTCAGTTGATGTAAAGTTCAAGTATTTATCTAGAAATACTGTGGCAGAAATGGAAGTACCGCCAGCAGTATTTGAGAGGTTGACAAGAAGCTGGTAATCAGAGGATGAGGTTGTGGTGGGGGGAGCATGAAGACATTAGAAGCTGCCTGCTCAGCAGCAGAAGATGAACCAACAAAACAAAATTTAAAAAGAAGTTTGGGGTGACAGTGGACATACACAGTGGAACAATAGCTTTGGGATCTGGGTCGAAGTCCAGCTCTGCACTCGCTGACCCTCCTCACTCTTGTTACTTCGGCTTCCAGAGCCAGCCTTTTTCTCCTCTGTGAGGGACGGATGATAACAGCCCCTCACAAGGAGGTGGCAAGAATTAAATGTGAACAGGAAGCACAGGGATAATGAAACAAAGTGAGAACCCAGTAAGTGTTGGTTATCATTATTGTCACTAGTATTATTGCTATTATTAGAAATTCCAGAAATGCAAATGAGTTCCAAGTTTCTTGTTCATGCAGCCATGGCAGGAGGGGAAAATTGCTCATCTTTCCCAGGACCTATCTGCTTTTTCCACACTTGTCACTTGGGTTCACATCTTCACAGCTCTTTGCAAACCCACCCCCCTCACTCTTTGCAGATGATCCCCTCTGAGAAAC